GGTTCCACTCCTGAAAACCTTTTGAAAATTATTTTTCATAAATCAGTCCCATAGACTACTAGTATAAAAGATGAGATTCGTTCATAGAAAAAGCCGTTTTTTTTCTAAAAACGAGTTTTTGTGATGTAAGTCCAGAATGCTACGTCTAACTTCATACCTAGGTATGTAAATGCCTAGCATTGACTCGCCAGGCCGACATACAGGCAATTAAAACATCTAATAATTACTTAAATACATATTAAAAAACTTTCCCTGAAACATCTTAAAATGCTACAGAACATTTTTAATGAGTTTTTGGCATCCATAATAATTATAAGCCAATAAACTTAATAAGTGAAGTGCATCATGAAATAGTAGTGCAAGACTGTGAGGCCTTGCCAAGATATATTGTTTTAATTTTGTAGTGACAACAACAGTGAGTCTACTGCACTGTACATACATTTTGAGATGTTTTACTTTTCTGGGTTTCACTTTTGATGAGATTTTTAACTGAAAAAAAAACACACTAAACTTATTCATTTAGCATTTTGTTCTTTCCACTCACAAAAGATCAAACTCTGAGATACAGTACTAAACACATCAACATGCCCACAGTCAAAATACCATACCTTGATATATCAACCTCTTACCACTGCTTCACCTAGCATTACTTTTGACCCATGATAAATAAAATACTAAGTATACTAGAGTATATTTGATTTTTAGCTTAGTTAACCACTCTCAATAAAGTAAATACAGTAGTACCCCGATTTACGCGGTCAATTGAACCCACAGGGTACCGCAGGAAAGTGAAAACCGCGTAAAGTGAACAACAGAACATATGGGATTAATTCCAATAGAGACTGGCCCGACCCCCAAACTCCACTTTTTCCGACACAATACCTATGTGTAGTAAAAATAACATCTAAATTTTATGATGGTATGCTCACACAATTAATATTTAAGAGAAATACAGTCGCCAGGTTAATGTCCATTCAAATAATGGACTCAAATCCCCCTCCCCCTCTTCCCAGCTCACTAGCTCCTACCTCTCTGAGAAATGTTGGGTGAAAACACTAGATTTTAACATTTAGTAATAAATAATACCTCAGACTAAAGATAGGATAATATAACTGACATTTCTGGATTCCTTGCAGGTCAGGGAATATTTTGAATGAAAACTTCATATATTTTGCACAAAAGATAAAATATTTGCTTTGTGTAAACCAAATTATTACATTAGATCTAAAATTTGTATGTCTAATGCAAAATCCATGATGTTTATATTCAAAATAATCATCATATTGTAAGAATTCCAGCAATGTAAATTATATTCTGGTCGAGTAATTTGTATGAATTTTATGAGCTAAAACAAATATCTTCAGTTAATAAAAAAAAATATTCTTCACGACACTATCTGTCAATCAAAGTACCCCACCTTGCCTCCCCCCCTCCTCACACTCATGCCAGCTGGGTCGGTCGGTCCCAACCCTCCCCTCCACCCCCCACCTTCCCTCCCTACCAGAGAAATGTTAGGTGAAAATACTAGATTTTAACTTTTAGTAATAAATAATACCTCAAACTAAAGTTAGGATAATATAATTGACATTTCTGGATTCCTTGCAGGTCAGGGAATATTTTGAATGTAAACTTCATATATTTTGCACAAAAGATAAAATATTTGTTTTGTGTAAACCAAGTTATTACATTAGATCTAAAATTTGTATGTCTAATGCAAAATCCATGATGTTTATATTCAAAATGATCATCATATTGTAAGAATTCCAGCAATGTAAATTATATTCTGGCTGGGTAATTTGTATGAATTTTATGAGCTAAAAAAAAAAAAAAAAATTATACTTCACCGCGTATATGAGTAGATGCACCGCGGAAAGTGAAAGTCCGGTTCTGGCAAGGTACCGCGTAAATGAGAAATCGTGGAAAGTGAAACCGTGTAAAGCGGGGTAATACTGTACTAGATTTTGTTTTTAGTTTGTCTTTATAAACTGACGGAGAGCCCCGAGATGCCTGTGTCAGCAACTAGGCATCTTCTGATGCTGTGAAAAAGAAAACAAAATGTAACCAGATTTTTCTTAGGTACAGTATGTAAATCATAGCCCGGAACAAAGGAACATAAGAATAGAGGAAACTGTAGCGGGCCTATTGGCCCATACTGGGCAGTCCCATTTACATCCAACCCCTATTGCTCATATATCCATCCAACCTATGTTTGAAGCTTTCCAGCGTATTCGAGTTAATGGTGGTATTTGGTAACTTGTTCCACTCGTCCACTGCTCTATTTCCAAACCAATGTTTGCCTTTTTCGTGCCTAAATCTATATTTGTCTAATTTAAAACCATTGTTACGAGTTCACTCCTGGTTGGATAATTTGAGTACCTTTGTAATGTCTCCTTTGTTTAGCCCTGACTTCCATTTATACACCTCTATCATATCTCCCCTCACTCTACGTCTCTCGAGGGGGTGAAAATTAAGATGCTTTAACCTGTCTCTGTACTCAAGGTTCCTAATGCCCGGGATTAGTCTTGTCATTCTCCTCTGAATTCTTTCTAAGGATTCTATATCCATTCTGTAATACGGTGACCAGAATTGAAATGCGTAATCCAGGTGTGGTCTCACAAGTGCAAGATATAGTTTTAGGATGACCTCGTTAGTCTTGTAACTAATACTCCTTTGCATAAATCCAAGTACTTTATTAGCCTTGTTTCGAGCAAAAACACATTGTATACTTGGCTTAAGATTCCTACTTATCATTACTCCTAAATCTTTCTCGCAGTCTGATTTCTCAATAACATCGTTGTTCATCTGGTATCTGGTTTCCCTGTTTACATCTCCTAAACTGAGTACTTTACATTTGTTCACATTGAATTTCATCTGCCATTTTTCAGACCATTCAATTTTTTTTTTTAGATCTTCCTGTGGTTTGCGGAGTCCTCATCAGATTTAATTACACGCCCTATTTTAGTGTCATCAGCAAATTTTAAACCAGATCTTCACAAATAGGGGTCTGCCTCTATTTTAGGTGCATTAGTATGTGAAGGCCAAATGCACTGAATGATAGACTATTGAAAAAAATTGTCTCTTGCCCCAAATCCTGCTCTGCTGCCCACCTCATGAGTTCCTCCCACCCTCAGTCAAAAGTGCTAAGAACTCTATTTGCTATATTATTTTGTAGTCTGCCACAATGTGGCAGAACCATTATTTTTATAGAGAAGAATCACAGTTACAAAATAAGTGTACAGTATGCAGGTACAGTACTTGCAGATGAAATTTTAAAATTAGTTCTTAAAATAATGTTTGAAAATTATTTTTCAATATATTTATGGAACTGGAGTTCTTATACATAGTGGCAAGAACTGTGTTACACTCATTAGGGGTTTACAGTAATACCCCGATTTACACGGTTTCGCTTTATGCGATTCTACATTTACGCGGTACCTCGCCAGAACCGGAATATCATTTTACGCGGTGCATCTACTCATATACGCGGGAAGCGGCGCGGGCAGGATGCGCACAAGGTCACCCAGTCATCAAAACATTACCGAGTTCTTCACCCGCCACCCACCACAGCTGGCCCAAGTCAGTGATAGTGGTAGTGAGGATATGGACTAATATGGACTTTGAGGGGTTTGACAAAGAGGCCCTGCAAGCATCTGTGGTGGATAGTGATACAATTGATACAAGTGATACAGGTGAGGGCCAATAATCTGCCCTCTGCCTCGGAACCAACCCCCCATCCTCGTGTGCCCAGCCATCTTTTCTACTAATGTAAGTGTTAAAAAACCTAATATTATTGATATTTCTCTTAATTATTAATTGTGTGTGCATACCATCATAAAATTAAGATGTTATTTTTACTACAACGTAGGTATTGTGTCTGAAAAAGTGGAGTTTGGGGGTCGGGCCAGTCTCTATTGGAATTAATCCCATATGTTCAGTTATTTCATTTACGCGGTTTTTGTTTTACGCGGTACCCCGTGGGTTCAATTGACCGCGTAAATCGGGGTATCACTGTAGTACGATTTCTTGTTTCCTCTGTGTAATGTTGAACTGAAATTAATATGGGTGACAACCGAGTATAATTTTAAGAACTGAATTTTGTTATTAGGAACTTGCATTAACCCTTACGCCCCGGGCTAGGGTGCCGCCAGCCATACCCGTAACGCAGGGTAAAACGAGAAAAATCAACTTTTCCAAAAATAATTTTTAACCTTTATAAATGATAAAACAATAAAAATGACCCAAGAAAAACTATACATTGTCCCTCTATATTCTTCCGTGGGGCCTCAGTGATGAGACAAATAAGGGGAAAGGTTTTTTTTTTACATAGAGAGCTCGCTGTCACTACGCACTTAGGGGTCATTTTCCCACTTGCCTTTGTGTCCGAGTTGATCAATAATGCATTTATTTACTGATCATAATACTTATTTCCTATAAATAATTCATTTACACTTGACAGGTATTTTATTTGCATTACTCTTCATCAGAAGTTCTCAGCGACGCACGCACTCACGCACGCACGCACGCACGCACGCACGCACGCACGCACGCACGCACGCACGCACGCACGCACGCACGCACGCACACACACACACACACACACACACACACACACACACACATAACATGATAAAATAGACAAACAATGAAAATAAACAAACAAAAGAAGTTTTTTACCTAGAAACTTCCCTCTGACCGTGCATAAGAGGAGGGAGAAAAGAGGGCTATTTTTAGCCCGTCTTTATGTCCGAAGTGGCCAATAATTCATTTAGAATTTATCTTTTTGCATTATTTTTCATAAAAAGTGCTTGGCAACACACAGCAGTCTGTCGCCATCTCTCTGGTTGTCTTTGTGTTTTGTAGAGCAAGTAATGCATAAAATAATAATAATTCTACAAATAAATACATTCATAACATAATCATAGCATTATTTTCCAGTAATACTACACTACAATACAACTACACTACTTTTAGCAATATTACTTTGATATAACATGATAAAATGGACAAACAATGAAAATGAAACAAACAAAAGTAGGTACAGTAATTACGTTCAGGAAGCTTCCCTGTGGCCGAGGTGTGGCACGACAAGCAAATAGTCACACCGGAACCTGATAACCCGCGCAGTGCATTTAAACAGTGGCGGGAAAAGGAGCGTGTTCTGGAACGTCACCCGGGGCCTAAGGGTTAAGAGCTCCAGTAAAGCTATAAGTGTTTCATAATGAAATTTGGTGGTGAAACTGGACAAGGACATCTACTTTGCAACACTCAAATAAATGAAACTGAATCAAAATCATTGTTGTTGTTTTTTTTTACTTTTGTCTCAGTCACTAGAGATGACAGGTTTCTGGCCACCACTCATCAATCTGCTTCTTTGTGGTTGGAAAGATGGACGATGAAGAGAGGCAGAGGGTAGTTGGCCTTGAATGATTTGTTTCACTGCTGATGGGTCATTCAGATTAATGTTGCCCTCGAAATAAACATCACTGATGTATTTCATCAACTGACTCACCTGCAAAGTCAGAAATGAAACAATGAGTATCACTCATCAAATTTACTCTCTATGAAAATGGCAATATATATGTGTGATGGCAGGGATAAACCAGGTACAGTAGATATATTAGGGGTGACTTTTGTAAGAACACTAACACAGCAGAATACATCTGCTGTGAGAAGAAGAATAAATGGAGGGAGAGTACAGGACTGTATTTGCATTTGATTTTAGCCACTTATTCCACAACAGGATGGGATACAAAAATGGAGAAAATTGTATCATATGTCTATACAGTATAAAACATCTGTAGTTAAAATAGAATAACACTGTGCCCACATCTAATCCCTTCCTCAATTTATACTGGAAGTGTTCTCTCATCTTCAATATGGAGTACATATAGTGGCCTACATTTTAAGGCTGGCACTAGATATGATTATTAAACAACCGTGTGTTACTAGTGCAGTATAATTTGCATTACCTGTAATACGTACATGTTGCCCTTACTTTCATGACCTTCACAAGGACTAAATTTACATGCACGAGGTTTACTTTTTACCACCCACATATTGCTTTAACCAGCCTAAAGTTTGGAAGCATGCAAATGAATATGCTTTTCATCATCCCTGTAGCTGGTGCACCTTGTGTACTAGAATGCACCTGGAGCCTGTTGTGTGTAAACATCCATTCTACTTGAGCTGACTTGATATCATCGTTTTTAACACTAATAATGGCTCTCCCACCAAGCATCCTTCAAATTCCAATGCAAGTAAAGAAGCCCTTATGGAGAAGCCTAAGAAGATGTTAATACTAGAAACTACGTTGAAGCTATTGAGAAGTGCTGACAGTCATGAAACAGCTGTAACACTTGGCAGGCCTTACCAAGTGAATGAGTCTAGCATATTGAATTTACTGTATACCCCTGTATTTATGCTCTAAGATGGGCTAGGACATAACCCTGCGAGGTGACTATAGTTTCATTACTAGTTTTTTTATTTTAGTTGATTATGTCCTGGAGGTACCGGTAGTAAACCCTTGACACCTTCACCCTCTAAACAGCAACTGAATTTCAGACATAAAGATCTCTTCCCATTCATCTACTATATACGGTACTGTAGTACAGTACTGTATGATATACTTCTTATTCATTAATACTTTACTTTTTTCCCAATTGTTAACCATATACAGTCTATTTTATAACTTAGATAATTTTAATAAGAACTGTTTAATTTTTGGAAATACAGTACATTATATGCCCAAGAAAGTGCTCAATTAGTGAGGCACCTTGAGTGAACAATGCTCACATATAATCCTTGTTCTGTTTTGTATTGCATTTATATGCAATTTCTTGTGTTGTAGTAAATAATCATTCTTCAGTTTAATAACATTACTTTCATTTCATCTTAGAGCATAAATTAGTTTATATAAATTAATAAAAAAAATTAATAAATAAAATAAAAAATACTATGCCCACAAGAACTGCAGGATGCTGATGCATTGTTTGAAGAAAATCACATATTATAGGATATAATAAAAAAAATAATAGGGAAGTTTGTGATGAAAGTCACAAATTACCTGTATATAAATTATGTTTTGTTTAAAACAGCCAGTTACATGTATTCTTACAATTCTAGTTATAAAACCAATTAATAAATGAGCCCCCAAGAATATGTGTGCAATATGAAAGTACAGGACTGTACTTACCTTATCAGGGAGTTCTTCAGTGTTAGAGTAATTAGGACTGATTTTCTTAGTTTTTATATCCATGATGTTTGGAGTCACGCTGTCATCTGGTGACTTTTCCAACTTCAAGGTTTGACGCACTGTAGACCACACAAAGTCAATGACATTGTACTTATTTTCCTTATTTTCCAAATCAAACTTGACTTCATTGAAAGCTGAGAGGATAATTGTGAGCATAATGTTGATGAGAATCATACTATTCAAAACTGAGAACACAAAAAAGAGAATTGGAGAATATGGGTTGGCTCGATTCATTGCAGCAAAATCAAACTTACCCAACATCATTTTGAAGCTTGTTTCAATCGCAGGTATAAACCTAGCAAAGTCTTCTATAGCTGTGAGGAACATAAAGTAAAACAGACAACAGAAGGCAAAAAACACAATACCAAATCCTATGAAGAACACTTTGAGTTCATCCCAGCATAGCCCAATTGTAAGGGCCAGCACATCCATCCTCTTGTTGAACTGGAGTAATTTTATAAGTTTTAGTATTGAGAAAAACACTATAGCAGATAGCAGGTAGAGGTAAACTTTATCCATTTGAGCTGCAGAGTCAATTCTCACATAACCATTGCCTTGTGTATCAATAAATTTTTTCAGAGCATCTTGGGTCAAGATATGTCTGTACACAAAAACAAAAATTGAAATGTAAGATATAAGAAGGATGCAGACTTCGGCAAGGTTCCAATATGACATAAAATATTTACATTTAAGTTTTTTTACCTTCCAGATCTCAATCAATGTAAACAGGACAGTAGCAATTATAAAAGCTATTTCACATATGCTCACAAGATAACCAAAAGGTCCTGTATGTGGCAAGAGTCGCACAGGCTCAAACCTCCATTTAGGGGTAATGCCTCCACCTTCATTAAACTCTGCAATAATAGTACAAGTGGAAAAAAGGTTAACATTTACATTAAAGACTGAAAACTCTAACATCACTGCACGTGTGTATTTGTCAATCCATCTCAACTTTTGCAATTTCTTGAGTTTATTCAAGTCATCTTCTTGGGGTCCATTCAATTTAATTTCATAGCCGCCACCACTATAGTAACCAAGTTTGCCTTCCATGGAATAAGTCTCAAATTCGGCAGCAGTTTTATAGCGGAACTCTTCACGCTGACATGAACTCTTCGAAGTTTCTAGAGCCGACCATCCATCACAGAAATTTCTCGTTTCCTCAGGGTCCCAACTTCTTCTTCCTGAGCAGCGCTTTATAGTCTTTCTTATTTTGGAGAAAGGTACACAAGTTCGTGGATCACTTCTTATTTGACGCAGTATCCCATAACCCATAATCCTGTTAACTCGATCTCCTAAATACCCTTTAAGGCCATACGGGGGCTCATTGTTGTACCATCGCTGAGCACGCATCTCAGTCAGGATCACCGTCTGTGACCAAAACCAGAAGTGGTCAGATGTAATGATCTGGAAAGAGAGTCAAGTTGCATACATGACTGATGTAATAATGATAATTATGATAATAATAACAATAGAGATGAGTATTCTTTGTTATTGCATAAATTGCTGATAAACCAACTGCATATAATTCAAGAATTACACTTGGTATTTTTATTAAAATATTAAAACCTTACTTAAAGAGGTCATACAATAATGCCAACAATGATCTTGGTCAGTACCTATGCACACTTGGTAAAAAAAAAGTATCTTTCAGGAGGGGTCCGATGAATTTGTAACTGAATAATCGTGTTGTCTCGCTGCAGTAAAGTACTGTAGTTAATATATTTAAAGAGTAAATTATTATATTATACTGTAGTAATTTCTACTAAATACCTTAGAACTGAAATCTAAATCTCTGTGTCCAATCTTGATGAATGTTCGAGTCAAGTGGTCCTGCAGCAGAAAGGCATTGATGTCTGCTTGTCCATTTGCAAGTATGAAGAGAACTAGCAAGAATAAACAATATATGCCAATGTCTCGTACTAAATAGCTCATCTCTCTGTCCTTTGTAAGACGGGTGACTAACGCACCAACTTCTGGTTCATTTGAGTCCACTCCTCCAATGCGATGCACCTAATAAAAAGAGAGGCAGTTAAACTACTGTACAGTACAGTAGTACCCCGCTTAACGCGGTCAATTGAACCCACAGGGTACCGTGTTAAGTGAAAACCGCGTTAAGTGAACAACAGAACATATGGGATTAATTCCAATAGAGACTGGCCGGACCCCCAAACTCTACTTTTTCCGACACAATACCTATGTTCTAGTAAAAATAACATCTTAATTTTATGATGGTACATGCACACAATTAATACTTAAGAGAAATAGAGAAATACAGTCGCCAAGTTAATGTCCATTCAAATAATGGACTCAACTTCCTCCCCTTCTTCTCACACTACACTCGCTGGCTCTTCCCTCTCTGAGAAATTTTGGGGGGAAAACCACTAAATTTTAATAAATAATACCTCAAACTAAAGTTAGGATAATATAATTGACATTGCTGGATTCCTTGTAAGACCAGGAATATTTTGAATATAAATGTCATATATTTTGCACAAAAGATAACATATTTACTCAGAGTAAACATTATATCTAAAATTTGTATGTCTAATGCAAAATCTATGATGTTTATATTCAAAATGATCATCAAATTATAAGAATTCCAGCAATGTAAATTATATTCTGACCGGGTAATTTGTATGAATTTTATGAGCTAAAACAAATATCTTCAGTTAATAAAAAAAAAATATTCTTCACACGTAACAGATGGTCGGTCGGTCCCTCCCTCCCCCCACCAGATGTGTGGGAAAACCAGAATATTTACCTTTTTAGTAATAAATAATACCTCAAACTAAAGTTAGGATAATATAATTGACATTGCTGGATTCCTTGTAAGACCAGGAATATTTTGAATACAAATGTCATATATTTTGCACAAAAAATAACATATTTACTCAGAGTAAACATTATATCTAAAATTTGTATGTCTAATGCAAAATCTATGATGTTTATATTCAAAATGATCATCATATTGTAAGAATTCCGGCAATGTAAATTATATTCTGGCCTGGTAATTTGTATGAATTTTATGAGCTAAAACAGGCAGGCAGGCGTTGGCGGGTGGGGCGAATCTAAAAATAGCGTCTCGAGCCAGACACTCTGCGCGTATACGTGGAAAAAACCCGTGTTAAGTGAAAGTTCGGCTCTGGCGAGGCACCGCGTTTACGTGAAATCGTGCTAAGCGAAACCGCGTTAAGCGGGGTATTACTGTACATGCATTACACCAACATGAGTACTGTACTGGAAATGAAATTACTTATAATATGTCCACTTGTATGCAGACACTTGGTATTATCACAAGATAGTGACTTTGAACATTTGACCCCCAAAATTACCAGTAATAGGTGTCTGCAGAGCCTAATGAGTGATCTACCAACAAAATTTATAAAGGGTTTATACTGTCAAATTAAAGATATTAACCAGACAATAAGAGAATATATATATATATTTTGTTGTAATCATACTGACCTTGACCAAGTGACCCTATAGTTAACAGGTAATTTGCACTTTCTAGGGACAAGAAATTAGGGAAACTGTCTAAATGATACTATTAACCCATATTGTAAAATGTAATTTTCCAGGGTCCAGTGCCACAAAACACAAAAGGATGCACCTATACAGTTGGGTCTTCATTTACGGGGTCAATTGAACCCATGGAGTACCGCGTAAAATGAGAAATGTGTAAATGAAATAACAGAACATGGAATTAATTGAAATAAAGACTGGGCCGACCCCCAAATTCCACTTTTTCCGACACAATACCTACATTGTAGTAAAAATAACATCTTAATTTTATGATGGTATGCACACACAATTAATATTTACGAGAAATACAGTCACCTGGTTAATGTCCATTCGAATAATGGACTCAACACCCCCCCCCCTCTTGCCACGCTCGCTGGCTCCTCCCTCTCTGAGAAATGTTTGGGTGAAAACACTAGATTTTAAGGCATAATAATAAAAAATACCTCAGACTAAAGTTAGGATAATATAATTGACATTGCTGGATTCCTTGCAGGACAGGGAATATTTTGAATGTAAACGTCATATATTTTGCACAAAACATAAAATGTTTGCTCATTTTCACCATCTTCTTAAATTACATCTAAAATTTGTATGTCTAATGCATTTTTTAGGATGTTTATATTCAAAATTATCACCATCTTGTAAGGATTCCAGCAATGTAAATTATATATTTTATGAGCTGAAAACATATATATCTTCAGTAAATAAAAAAATTATACTTCACCCGCGTAAATGATGAAATTTACAGCGTAATTAAAGCATTTCATTCTGGCAAGGTGCCGCGTAAATGACCAAACGCATAAACAAAAACTGCGTAAATCCAGACTCAACTGTAGTCCATTTTTATTGATATCCAAAATAAGCACTGCCTCCAATATGATATGTCATTTTGTGATAGGCTGATGTGACAGTATGCCCAGTGGAAGCAAATTTTAATCACTCTGGAGCACTTCATAATCTATTGGTTTTCTAACTGAAGTTTTGTCAAAATTATATAATTAATGGATCATCATCATCATGCCAGATAATGTAGCTATCCAATGAATGAATAAAATTTGGACTTTCATTTCATTGGAAGAATACAGTACAGTATTACCCCGCCTAACACGGTTTCACTTAACGCGTTTTTTCATATACGCGGTGCCTCGCCAGAGCTGAACTTTCACTTAACAGGGATTTTTTCCACATATACGCGGCGAGTGTTCGGCTCGAGACGCTATTTTTAGATTTGCCCCACCCGCCACCCTGCTTGACTGCCTGTTTTAGCTCATAAAATTCATACAAATTACCCGGCCAGAATATAATTTACATTGCTGGAATTCTTATAATTTGGTGATCATTTTGAATATAAACATCATATATTTTGCATTAGACATACAAATTTTAGATAAAATTTTTTCTCTGAGTAAATATGTTATCTTTTGTGCAAAATATATGATATTTATATTCAAAATCTTCCTGGTCTTACAAGGAATCCAGCAATGTCAATTATATTATCCTAACTTTAGTTTGAGGTATTATTTATTACAAAAGTTAAATATTCTGGTTTTCCCACACATCTCCTTGGGACGGTTGGTGGGGGGTGGGGGGAGGGAGGGACCGACCGACCATCTGTTACCCTGTGAAGAATATTTTTTTTTTTTATTAACTGAAGATATTTGTTTTAGCTCCTAAAATTCATACAAATTACCCGGTCAGAATATAATTTACATTGCTGGAATTCTTATAATTTGATGATCATTTTGAATATAAACATCATATATTTTGCATTAGACATACAAATTTTAGATAAAATGTTTTCTGAGTAAATATGTTATCTTTCGTGCAAAATATATGACATTTATATTCAAAATATTCCTGGTCTTACAAGGAATCCAGCAATGTCAATTATATTATCCTAACTTTAATCTGAGGTATTCTTTAATACAAAATGTTAAAATTTATTTTTTTCACCCAACATCTCTTGAAGGGAGGATTGGTGGGGGGTGGGGGGGAGGGTTGGAAGAGGGGGGAGGCAAGGTGGGGTACTTTGATTGACAGATAGTGTCGTGAAGAATATTTATTTTTTATTAACTGAAGATATTTGTTTTAGCTCATAAAATTCATACAAATTACCCGGTCAGAATATAATTTACATTGCTGGAATTCTTATAATTTGATGATCATTTTTAATATAAACATCATATATTTTGCATTAGACATACAAATTTTAGATAAAATGTTTTCTCTGAGTAACTATGTTATCTTTTGTGCAAAATATATGACATTTCTATTCAAAATATTCCTGGTCTTACAAGGAATCCAGCAATGTCAATTGTATTATCCTAACTTTAGTTTGAGGTATCATTTATTAAAATTTAGTAGTTTTCCCGCCAAAATTTCTCAGAGAGGGAAGAGCCGGCAGTGTAGTGTGAGAAGAGGGGGAGGGAGTTGAGTCCATTATTTGAATGGACATTAACTTGGCGACTGTATTTCTCTATTTCTCTTAAGTAGTAATTGTGTGCATGTACCATCATAAAATTAAGATGTTATTTTTACTACAACATAGTTATGTGTCTTCAAAAAGTGGAGTTTGGGGGTCGGGCCGGTTTCTATTGGAATTAATCCCATATGTTCTGTTGTTCACTTAACGCGGATTTCACTTAACGCGGGACCCTCTGGGTTCTATTGACCGTGTTAAGTGGGGTACAACTGTAATAAATTAAATAAAAATCAAGACTACAGCTGGTGAGAGGGGTTTGCATGAAAAGTCACACAGTGGTGCCTCCATTAGGGATCTGCTGGACTATATAATCAATTACAGTAGATGACAAATAATTCCAGTATATCAAAATTACTGAATAGTTATGTAAATCGGGTTGATACACTGCAGCTAACTAAAAGTACATCATCAAAAATCAGTACAATAGAATGTCGATCTAAAGCAATTCAATTTAAGATTATTGATTTAAAGTGACACCCACAATTAAGAACAATGTTTTAATTTAAAGCAAATCTTTCCTATTTTGCGTGAGTCAATCTGGCGCATCAATTTATAATTTTGCACCTAATGTTTCTCTGGGCATGCTACACTGTCCTTAGGGCAAAGCTGTACTGTACACGTACTCAAAATACTGTTCTATATGATTACTAATATTTTTGTTGAGTGCAAACTACAGCATGTTTATATTCAAATTAATCACAATTTTATAAGAATTCCAGCAATGCAAATTATATTATCCCCGGTCACTTCTGTGACATTTTACAAGCAAAAAACATAAACTCAAGCTGAAGGACATAAATAAACAAATAAATACTTCACTAGACCTTCAGTGCCAACTGTCAAACATGTCCCTGTCACTTCTCTCCCTTCCCTCCCCCCCCCCATCTTCCCAGCCAGGGTTTGGTGTTTTAGGCTTAAAGTTTTTATCTTATAATGTCACAGACTAAAATTAGGAGAATATAATTTGTATTGCTGGGATCCTCGCAAGACAGCGAATAATTTGAAG